GGGCACTCAGGGTGATTTTAGGAGGGAAAGTTTTGGGTTGTGTTACCACTGGACACAAAGTTGTCCCAGTGGCAGCCTGTGATGGGAAGCCCATGGGAATAGGACAGGCCTGGACTGGTGGTGCCAGTTCACCCTGAGCTCAGGGATGGGCTGGAATGTGGTGGGATGCCTTTGTGTCCCTCCAGGGCTGGCAGCAGGGATGCCCTCAGTGAGACAGGGATTCTGGAATGGCAAGGAGCCATGCCATGGCTCCAGTGTCAAAATTTGCTGGAGTTGAAATGGCAACAGCACTAATTTCTAAATGAGCCTGTTCATACATTCTCCCTGGAGGCAGTAGGAGGGGGGATTTGGGGTGGGGGACAGCCCTGCTCCAGCCTTCCAGACACCTCCTGGAGCCAAGCCAGTGGCTGGAGCATCTCCTCCATCTCTGTCTCAGGAGCCAGAGCCATTCCCATCCCTGCTGGGGGATTGGGAAGGGGGATTGGGAAGGCAGATGACTCCTCCTGTGGTGCTGCAGATAAACTGTCATATATTTTTTCGTTTCTCCAGGAGGATTTTAACCCACCTGGCAGGTTTAACTCTTCCCTGCCCGGCCTTCCCAGGAGGCAGCGCCTGCCCTGAGGCAGGCAGGGACGTGGGGAGGTGGAGACTGAAGGGGTTAAGCATCCACAGCCACCGAGATTTAGCTGGAGAAACCCAGGCATCCCAGCCTAATCCCTGCATCCTTACATCGCATCCCTGCCTGCCTGGGACCGGAGGTGGCCGTGGGTGATGGGCAGCCACTAATGCTCCTGTAATCTTCCAAATATTTGGAGGGATAACAATTGCAGGAGAGAGGATTTTAACGCTTTCCTGGGGAGGTTTGCTTGGCCATTGCTGCAGGGGGAGTTGCTTCCCGGGTTTGCCATCCCCAGTGCCACGTGTTTGGGGTGATGGAGGGGGGGGTTAAGGCTGGATCCTGCCCCGGTGCTGCTCCCTTTGTGGGGTGAGGTGCGTTTGGGGTCGTGGGTCTTGACAAAGTTGCAAAGGCTGGCAGCAAACATCTGCAAATCACCCCCCAGGGAACAGATGCTGCGGATAATCCAGCTCAGCCCCAGCAGATTAAAATGTGTGATGACGGATGGCGAGAGGAAAAGAAGTGCCTGTTCCCCTCCTCCCTTTTCCTCTCGTTGCTCCTACTACACTCATCCCCAAGGCTCCAGGATTTGGTGCCGTGGGTTGAGCTGGGAGCTGCCCCCTCTTTGTCTCTCCCTGCCCACAGAGAGCTCCAGACACTCCAGCACGCCGTGCCCCAAGTCGTGTGAGATTGTGGGATGGCGACAGCCTGGGACTTCCAAAAAAAAAAAACCCCAGAAGAGATCTGGGAAGCAGGCACCCACCTCCAGCAGGAAGGAGGGAAGCCGGCAGATGGGAACCCCCTGCAGACGTCTGCCAGGGAGATGATTACAGGCAGCGGAGCGCGCGCTCAAATATTTATTAGTTTGTCACTGCTGGGAGTTTTATTGCTGGTGTGATTGCAGGACTGGAAATCCCGGCTGTGCAGGGCTCCTTTCCTGCTTTCCCATGCAAAAGCATCTCCCGTGCCTGCTGTTCCTGTGGTCACTGGGCCACAGTGTCACCTGGGGTGGCACCGGAGCCGCGGTGGCCTCTGGAGGTGATGGAGTTGCACCACTGGGAATGTGCCTTTTTCTGGAGGGGCGTTTTGCAGTTGTTGCTGGGCAGTCAGGGCACGCAGCAGCAGCAGTTGCTGCTCACAAGCAGCGTGTTCCTCCCCCCAGTGACTGTGTGTGGATTTTTGGGGGGGCCCCCATGAGTGTCGAGAGGTTTCCCATGCGGCGGGTGGCCGGGCGTCGGCAGCAGGGATGAAAGGCTGGCTTGATGGCTTGTGATAAATGTGCCCAGCATGGTTCTCCTCCCTTTTCTCATCCAAAGTCCCCGTTGTTCCTATGCCTTAATTCTTCCCCAGTGTGTTTAAATAGCAGTGAGCATTTCATGCTGGAGGAAAACGCCCTGCCCAGCTGCAAATGCTTTTTTCCCAGCTAATTTCTGAATGGAAAAATCACCCTCCCCCTTGATTTGCTCCCATCCATGAGTCTGGGGAATCTGTGGGGTTTGGGCTCCATGGCATGGCCCCAGTTGTGAGTCTGCCATGACGGAACCATCATCCTTTTCTCCTGTCTCCTGTTAGAACTGCTTTTTTGGCCCCAGATCTTTCCTGGCCAGAAACAAAAGATCTCTTATCTGTCATGAGTTTGCAGGATTTTAAGTTTCCCCACATGCTTCTGGCTTAAAAGGTTCAGGTGTTTTGGGTTCAAACCTTAAACCTGGAAGGTTTTTGTAGCCACCAAAAGCAGATGTTGGATTTGGCTGGTGACACCATCCTATTCCCCCATCCTTGTCCCCAAAGTCACTGTGTCCGCATGGAGAAGAACCTTGAAGTTCTTATTTGGGCAGAGCCCCTCTTGGAGCAGGGTCTGGATGGGATTTTTGGTACCACCAGGGGTGTCTCAGTCCCAAACATTGTCCTGGGGGCCCAAGTGGCTCCGCTGCAGCCTTCACCCTTCCCGTGCGGATGATCCCGGTGAGTCACAAATCTGGCATTTCCATCCCCATCCGCCGTGACTCATCCCCTCCCAGCTCCTCTTGGATGACCTAAAGTCTTGTTCAGCATCACCAAAGTGGTGATGAGGTGGGAGAAAACGTATCCTTGGTGTTGGCTGTTGGACAAGGATCTCTCCTCCTGGCCCGTGGATTTGGATCAGGGCCATGCGCACTTTGGGGTGTCACCTCCCCAGGGGAAGATCCTTCCAAAAGCTGCCTCTTGAGGATACCTGTGCCCGTTCCCAGCTGCCAAGCCCGGGTCTGACTTTGCCACAGGGATGCAGGGAGCATCGTGGCAGGGAGGTTTGCACACAAGCCCGTGAGTGAAGTTTTGTTGGCTGCCTCTGCTGCCAGTTCGATTATCTCCTGCCAGCCCCCTTTGCCAGGGAATTTAGAGCCATGGCATCGAAGCAGTTTTTGAAATTAACCAAAAAAAACAACACACATAACCAACAGAACAACAATCCAATGGATGAAAAAATGGGTTAGCAAATTAAAAAAGGGATATTTGCTGCTGTGACAGGTGAAAGGCTGCTCAGCAGGAGAGAGGAGCAGCAGCAGTGGCCTGAGGTGGTCACAGGGAGCAGTGTGGGATTGTTCAGGGTGGAGGTCACACACCTTGGCATTCCCTGTCTCCCTGCCTGCCCGGGGCCTGGGAAAATTACAGGTCTGCAAATGAGATGGGGGAGGAAATAACCAGCAGCAGAGAGGTGGGGAAGAGCCAGGCAGAGGGAGAGAGAAATTAGCCTGGAGTTTAATTCATTGTTTCCAAAAGAGCAGTTAATGGATTATGACAAATGTCCTACCGCTCTCCCTTAGTGCTGTGTTAAATGGAAATGGAAAGTCAATTTTCCTAAATGGATTTTAAACGACTGACCTCGTGCTTTTTTTTTTTTTTCCCTCACTGATTTTTGCTCAGGAAGAAGCCTGGTCATCTTGTTTTCTTGATGCATCTGATTATATTTTTTTCTCTTCCTCCTCCTCCTCACAGCTTGGGATTCTGATTCTCTCCGTGCAGCGCCGCTCCTTGCCAAGGGTGATGAAGGGAGTGGGCTCCTTTCTTCTCCCTGCCAGCTCTGGAGATGTTATCGTGGGGCTGGGGATATTTACTGTTTTCCTGCACGCTGCAGTGCCTGGAGTTGAGAATCACAGCTCTGGCTGGGGGAAGAGAGGAGGAGGAAAAGCTCATAACCGCTTTGAGTGTAAAGAAAAGCCTCGAGATGTGACCTGACTGCTAGTGAGATTCCCAGGAACAGCAGGTTAAGCAGCAGCATCCCTGTGCACCTGTGTGGGGGTTTTTATTACTCCTGTGATATTTGGGGTTGATCTTAATGGGCTGGAAACAGGTCTCCTGCAGATGCTGCTCAGCTTCAGTCAGAGCATCTTCCCAAGCTGCTGCTGGGAATGAGGCACCCTGGAGCTCCCACTCCTAAGGGATAACATTCCTGTGTAAGCACTGAGCTGCTCACCCCTTTCCAAGATTTTTCTTGGCCTGGCCTCAGCAGACACAACCTCCAGTTGTTTTTGCATTTAGATGGCTTTTGAAAGCAAATAAGCAGGAATATGGAGCTCCCCAGGACACAGCCCCCCGTTTTCTGGGATACTGGGAATCCTGGTGGTACCTTTGGGTGATGTTCTCTGGAGGTGCCTGGGCTGGAAGCCATCGCTCACCTGTTGGGTGATGCTGAAATCCAAGCGCTGGCAGGGGGTGAGATCCTAAATGCAGCTCCAGTGAAGGTGTGGATGGCTGAGATCTGTCCTGGGGATATGGTCAGCATTCCCAAAATGCCCTGCCAGTATTTTGCTGGGAGCATGCCCATGCATTCCTCAGGGCTGTGAGGAGGAGGTGTGGGGTGGGGGACACCAGCCCCATCGGAGCCTCTCTGTGTCCCCATCACTATCCATAGACCTGGGTTTGTTTTGCTTTTCCCCTTGCAGTGTCCTCTAGTGAGATCACCCAGGTTTGGGCTCGGGGTGTGGATGAGGGCCCAGTACCCAGGTGAAAGAAGATTGATCCCACAGCTCTGGTTTGCTATCACGGAATGGCTGGGTTGGAAGAGACCTCCAAGATCATCGAGTCCAACACAGCCCCAACACCTCACCTAAACCCTGGCACCCAGTGCCACATCCAGTCTGTTTTAAACACACCCAGGGATGGTGACTCCACCACCTCCATGGGCAGACCATTCCAGAACTTTATCACCCTTTCTGTATAAAACTTTTTCCTAATATTCAACCTGTATTTCCATTGGCGCAGCTTGAGACTGTGTGCTCTGGTTCTGTCAACTCCTTTGCTGGTTTTGCCTGGTTTTGCTTTTCCACCCATCCTCAGCTGCTGTTGCCCAGGGAGGGAGCAGGGGGACGTGGGGCAGCTGCTGAGCCTGTGGGTGTCCTGGCAGGGCTGGAGTACAGCGACGTGCTGCCCGACTCGTTCCCATCGGCGCCGGCCGAGACGCTGCCGCACTTCCTGCTGGAGCCGCAGGACGCCTACATCGTCAAGAACAAGCCCGTGGAGCTGGTGTGCCGCGCCAACCCCGCCACGCAGATCTACTTCAAGTGCAACGGCGAGTGGGTCAACCAGAACGACCACGTCACCAAGGAGAGCCTGGACGAGGTCACCGGTGAGCACAGCCCGCCTTCCCGCGCTGCTCTCCAAGCCCTTTTCCCTCTCGCCGCATCCAGGCTGTTGGTGGTTCTCCTCCAGGCAGGCCATTGGTGAAAGCACCTTTGTGGCAGCAGAGAGCAGGCACAGACTTTCCCAGAAATATCCTGGGAAGCTGTGGAGAAGCTGTGGTGTTGTATTGGCAGGGATCCCCGTGGCAGGCAGGAATGATGAATCTGACTCCACGTTCTCAGAAAGCTAATTTATTATTTTATGATACTATATTATATTAAAGAATACTATACTATACTAGAGAATCACAAAGGATACTTACAGAAGGCTAAAAAGGTAATAATGAAAACTCATCACTCTTTCCAGAGCCTTAACACGGCTTGACCCTGATTGGTCAATAAGTCAAAACAACTCACACCAGAATTCAATGAAACAATCACCTGTGGGTAAACAATCTCCAAACACATTCCACATGTGAGCACAACACAGGAGAAGCAAATGAGATAAGAATTTGTCTTCCTTTTTCTTTGAGGCTTCTCGACTTTCCGGGAGAAAATCCAGGGCCAAGGGATTTTTTCAGAAAATATGACTGCCACACTGTGGGAAACTTAGAGGAAAAGAATGGAAACAATTATTATCTCTCTTTCTGTGACCATTGTTTATAGACAGGGTTTGCTAGAGTGTGCTATTGATAGCTCGCCAATAGCGTGTGAGAGGTTTTGACTTTAAGACCAATCAGGTCTTAGATCCACCATTGTTTCTGTAAGAACTGTAGATTTCTAATGATAAAGTGTCTTTTCATGCCTTCTGGATAATCAAGTCAATACTAATCATTACCTGACTGGGAACCTACTACCTCACACCATGATGGTGCTGTGGTCACCACACCCCCCAGAGGCTTGGGGAAGTCACCCTGCCTGGTTTCACTCTTACCCCTGTGCAGGACTCGGGGTTCTTACAAGGGATTTTGAAGGCAGCATGTTTAAATCCGATAAAAAAAAAAAAAAAGGGACTGCTTTTCTACAAAATGCCTAATCAACATGTAGGAGTCATTGCCAGGAGGGGTGGCAAAGGCTGGCAGCTTATGCAGGTTCGCAGAGGGATTAAGTGTTTAATGGGTAATGAGAGCAATTGCAGGTAGGATTTGAAATGCCTGTTGATGGCAAATGAGCTCTTTTCTGCCTCAGAGGATAAATCAGCCTCTGGCTGCCTGCAACGGGGTGAGAAGGTGGTTTAGGCATTTTAGGGGGGGTCTTACTCCATGGGATTGGGCTCTGCAGAGCTGCTCAGTCCATGCCTTGAAACATCCTGGCACGAGAACAAGATATGTGGGGTTGGATAAATCATGTAACCAAGTAGATTTGCTAAAATTGGATGCTTTAGCTCAGCACCCACCTTTTCTGCACCAGTTTTGGTACCTGTGGCTGATCAGGAGTGGAGGAAAACAGTCCCCTTTCCCCTGGAAGATCTGCCCTCTGCTAATCCCTGCACATGTGGCATCCTGAGGGTTTTAAACCAAGGCAGCCTTTTGAACTGCAGTGGTGCTGGCCTTGGAAGGCAGGCTGGGCTTAGAGGAGAGACTTCACCAGCCTGGAGGAGCCACCAGTATTTTGACAGGATCTCCTGTTGTCCCTGTGATATTTCCACCCCTTGCCCTTCCCTGGTATCTCTTGCTCTCCACCCTGCAGTAGCCATGAGCCAGTCTGTGCTTGGGTGCATCCCTGAACCTGCTCTGGAAAGGGAAGATCCTTTCTTTCCTTGCAGCTTTTTGAGCCTTTTCTGCTAAATCTGCTTTAGCCATTCATGGGGTGTTTTTCCTCTAGAGGAAAAATAGTCAGAGATGCCCAGGCAGGCTGTCCCTTTGCTTCTCTGGAGGCTGACAGGAGCAGGGGACACTCTGTTTCTCTCTTTCTGGGTACATCTCTACCTCCCAGCTCTTGCAGAGGCCAGATTTGAAACCCTCACCACTGTGAGGCAGAGTCAGTGCTGGTCAGTGACCGAGGAGCCTTTGCCAAGGGGTTTTAAATTTATTTATAACATCTGGCCACACTGGGTGGGGCCAAAGGTCTGTGTGCCCCGCACACAGCAGTGGAGGATGCTTAGGGGAAGATCATGAACCAGGACAAGGAGGGAGCAATGGAGCTGCCCTGTCACCCTCCCAGCTTTCCACCACTCACATCAGGCACTCCCAGCTCTGGTGGCAGCATCTGAGCAGTGTGGTACAGCCCAGGGTGGAATCCTCCCTTGTTAATTTGTCTAATTGCTGTTAGGACTCATTTCTCTGGAGCATCCTGTAGGAGGGGGTCTCATGCCTTAGTGATGTGCAGTGTGGAAAGAAACATTTTATTTCATAGACTCATGGAATAGTTTGGGTTGGAAGGGACCTTAAAGATGATCTAGTCCCATCCCCTGCCATGGGCAAGGACACTTTCCACTAGCCTAGGTCATTCCAAGCCCTGTCCAGCCTGGCCTGGAACACTTCCAGGGATTGGGCATCCATCTGGGCAACCTGTTGCTGTGGGAGCTCACTTGCTTTGGTCCAGCATCTCCCTCTAGGATTCTGCTGCATGCCTGCAGTCTGGGGAGGAAGCAACACACTCCTCCTTCATCCAGGCTTCAAAGATGGCATTGCTGCTATCAGGGAGTGAACCAACAGTGCCTGCAGGTGATGTGGTGCATGCTAAAGCTGCTGCTGTGGGCACCTCTGCCTGGCAGCCTCCCTAAGGAAAAGGGAGCTGGAACCAAAGTGGTTTAAGGTGGTAAAAAATCTGTATTTGCAGCACCTGGTGTTCGGGAAAACTGCCAGAAAGGGCACGGAGGAGAGCTGGGCACAAAGACACGGGTTAACATGGTTACTTTTTAAGTGTCCTTGGTTAAAAGCTTGGAAAAAGGGACCTTTAAGAAGAAGCGGGGAAAAAAAGAAAGGAACTTTTAAGATGACGTGTCTTGAATGAGCCTGGCTCAGTAATGCTCTGACTGCGTCTGATCCAAAACATTTCATGCGGAAGAAAGCAAAAATAGGCCAAGTCAGAGAGGATAATTCAGCTGGGTGAGGAGGTCTGGGCAGGGAGAGCAGCTCTGTTTGGGTGCCCAGAAGCCCTTAGGAAGTGATTCATGTGTGCCACGAGCTCAGTCTTCAGTTTTGGGGACAGAGGTAGGGCGTTTGCAGGATGCTTCCCACCTTCCATCATCCCACCAGAGCTTCCCAGATAGACAATATCAACTGGAGCCATATCTGCATTCTGAGTCCTTTTGAAGTCCCAAAAATGCTTGGCCCAAATACCTTTGCTTTTGGGGTTTTCTTCTTGTGGTTCTTTCTTTTTCCTCCCCCCGAATAGTGACAAAATAAATTGTATTTCCTTGTCAGCTCTTCTGCAGGAAGGTGGCAGGGAGACAGTAATTGCTCCTCACAGCACTGGGAGTGAGCTGTAACAAAATTACAGCTGGGGAGTGTGTGGCTCTGGATCACTGTGAAATTGAGGCCTTTTTAAAATAGCAACTGGAAAAAAAAATGGGCAGGTATTGCTTAAAATAAGGAAAAGTAAGGCCCAAGTCCCTCCTGCCCTTGGTGATGATTGTTGATGCTCCTGCAGTCCAGGGGATCGTGTCCTGGTTGTGGTGGTGTCACCTTTGTCATGGCCCCTCAGGCTGATTTCTTTAAGATTTTGTTTGTCTTGTTATATTTGTACTTGAGTGGCACAGACAGAGATGGTTTCTCCCCACAACAAAGCCCGGGGGAAGTGTTCTTCAAACCCTGGTGGGTGGGAAGGGGTCTGGACAAGGATGTTGGATGTTGGGATGTTGGGAAGATGTGGGAGAGAGCTGGAGGAGGAGGGTGCTGCCTTGAGAATTGATGAAGAGATTCTGGTTCTGCTCAGCTGGACTGGGGGGAAAAAAGGAGGCATTTCCATAGCCCTGGCTTCATCCCCAAACCATCCTTCGGGGGGAACAGTCTTCCTGACTCGCGAGGTGCCAACCCCAGAGGAGAAGCCTCCAACCCTCTGTCCTCCAGCTTTGTGCATGCACCCTCTTGGGTGCTGCCTGAGTTTCCCTGCTCCTGGCTGCTCCTGCCCATCGATGCCGTGCCTGTGTCCCCCTGCAGGGCTGCTGGTGCGGGAGGTGCAGATCGAGGTGTCCCGGCAGCAGGTGGAGGAGCTGTTTGGCCTGGAGGATTACTGGTGCCAGTGCGTGGCCTGGAGCTCGGCGGGCACCACCAAGAGCCGCCGGGCCTACGTCCGCATCGCCTGTGAGTGCTGGCACTGACGCCTCGGGGTTTGGCTTCTATGTTTTTCAGATTCTGTGCTGCTTTAGTGTGTGGGGCTGGGCTTCATATGAGGGGATGGTGAGCTCTCTGCACAGAGCAGGGAAACAAAACAATTCCAGCTCTAGCTGGGGACCAAGGACAAATGATCCAGATCTCAGGCCCAAGAGCACAAACAACGTGGGCTGAAGAGAGAAAAACAAGGATGGGACTGCAGGGGCTAAAACTGTAATTGGATAATTAACCCCAATATGCAAATAGACCAAAACTTATAAAAGTGAGAGACCTTGTGACCAGGCATCCATTTTTGTGACCATTTTGGTTCATCTTGGGTGCAGCCCTGGCTGAGCTCTTGTGCTGCCCACGGACGATCCATGGAAACCCTTTAATAAATCTCTACTTGTTTCTTTAACTATGTCTAGCTCAGTCTTCCCAAGGCATCACTCCCATCTCCAAATGTCCTTCTCCACTTTCTGATGAGTTTGGGATGACCCATCCCTGCGGGATGACCCCGGTTTTCTCTCCCCACCCCAGCTGTAGCTTTGTTTCTGAGGGGCAGTGGCACTGCCAGGGTTAACACCGCAGTGCCCAGCAGTGTGCTCAGCGCTTCCCAGGGTTTTATTATCCTTAATGACCCAGCGGATGGCACCTTGCACGCTCAGCGACTCTGTCCTCTGAGTCCCTGCTGTCACATGTCACTGCCCTGAGCTGCTCTTGGGGGTGTCAGCCTGATCAAAGGAGAGTTAGTCAGGCTGGGCCTGCCTGAATTTGCTCAATTAGCAGATGAGATGGCGGAGCTGCAGGGTTTGCCCGGTCCCAAATGGATTTGGCTATTAGAGGGGTAATAATCCAACATGTTATTCAAAACAGAGTGGTACATGAGCTATGCTGCTGAAGGGTTATGCTGGGAAAACCACAGACTCAGAGAACCATAGAATCATAGAAAGTTTTGGGTTGGAAGGAACCTTAGAACTGACCTCATTCCAACCCCATGCCGTGGGGAGTGACACGCTCCTCTAGACCAGCTTGCTCCAAACCCCCTCGAGCCTGGCCTTGAACACTTCCGTGGTGTTTTTTGGAACAGAGGGTTCAGGAGCCACATGGAGAGGTGTAGGAGCTGAAGCAGAGGATTGCAGCACCATCTAGTGATGCTGCTGCTCCTTCCCAGGCTCCGGAGCAGGACACTGCTGTGTCCCCCATATCCTGAGGGGCTCTGCTGGGATGGATGAAGAAACAGTGGATAAGCTGAGCTTAGCCTCAAAAGGAAAAGACAGGATAGGGTACAAGCACATGAAGGAGGAAATGTATCATCCACCATGTGCTGCCCCAAATCCATCCTGGAAAATATGATTCTTCAGCTCCTTCCTCCCAGGGCATGTCTGTGCCAGAGGGACTTCCTGACTTGAAGGTGCTCACCAAAGTTTTGGAGGCTGCCCTGTTCCTGCTGCAGGCTGCTGACCCCTGGCTTCTCCTTCTCCTCATAGACCTACGGAAGAACTTTGATCAGGAGCCGCTGGGCAAGGAGGTCCCACTGGAGCAGGAGGTGCTGCTGCAGTGCCGCCCGCCCGAGGGGGTCCCACAGGCTGAGGTGAGTGGGTCCTGAAAGAATATGTAGGGGGGTGTTCCATCCCATCCCATCCCATCCCATCCCATCCCATCCCATCCCATCCCATCCCATCCCAGATGATCTCCTGTCAGCTCTCATTCAGCAGAATGGTTTATTTTGGGCAGCAGCCCAAAATAAACCCTCAGCACACTTCTCCCACGCTTCCTGAGGTGCCTCAGAGGGAAGATCTGACAAGGAGGCACCCAGGGAGTTGTCTGGATGGGAGCAGTCACCAGTGGGAGCTGAGGGCTGGGAAAATCAGTCCGGATGGGTTTTCCTGCCATGGTAGTGCAGCTTTCCTTGCCCACAGCTCCGTCAGCTGCTGGGAGCTGTGTGTTGGAGGGAGCCACAGTGTCTCATCCTTGGCCAAAACACCAGTAACGTCCCAGTTTTCAGGAGAAATAAATCCAGTCAGTGGCAAGGTTGTCCAGTCAGTGGTTAAAGTGCTGAGGACATCTTTGGTCTTGGTGATGGCTTGACCCCCATCCCTTGCTTTCCTGCCAGGTGGAGTGGCTGAGGAACGAGGATGTCATCGATCCCAGCCAGGACACCAACTTCCTGATCACCATTGATCACAACCTCATCATCAAGCAGGCCCGGCTGCTGGACACTGCCAATTACACCTGCATGGCCAAGAACATCGTGGCCAAGCGCCGGAGCACCACGGCTGCAGTCATCGTCTACGGTACTGGCCCGGGAAGGGGACCTGTGGTGCTGGCTCTGTCCCCAAGCCAAGGGGGATTATGGGCACTTCCTGGGAGTGGTAGAAGTGAATTAGTGCATGGTGATGACCTGCAGAACAGGAGCCTCTAATGGCTTCCACAGGCAGTAAGGAGAGGTTTGAGGTGGAGGGGTGGAGGTATTTCTGAGTGTTCTCGGCTGGGGAGGAGCGTGGATGGAGGTTGGATCCAGATGGATCGCTCTGACTCTCAAAGCAGCTGGAAAGCTGTATTTGGCTGAACTTTGCTATGAAATCAAAGATCTCCTCAGGGCCAGATGCAAAAATATTTTCCAAGTGGAGAAAGGACCAAAGCAGACTTGAGCATCTGGGGCACAGGGTGGTGATACAAGAGGGAGTTTTGTGGTTTGCTGCTCATGAGGCTGAGCTGTAACAGGGGGTCACAGAAGCTGTAAGAACTCAAGGCTTAGCACCAGCCCGAGACTTAGCTGATGGATTGGGCTCCAGAGCTGACTGTGCCCATCTCCTCTGCAGTGAATGGTTGTAGAAGTGAATTAGTGCATGGTGTTAGGTGATGACCTGCAGAACAGGAGCCTCTAATGGCTTCCACAGGCAGTAAGGAGAGGTTTGAGGTGGAGGGGTGGAGGTATTTCTGAGTGTTCTCGGCTGGGGAGGAGCGTGGATGGAGGTTGGATCCAGATGGATCGCTCTGACTCTCAAAGCAGCTGGAAAGCTGTATTTGGCTGAACTTTGCTATGAAATCAAAGATCTCCTCAGGGCCAGATGCAAAAATATTTTCCAAGTGGAGAAAGGACCAAAGCAGACTTGAGCATCTGGGGCACAGGGTGGTGATACAAGAGGGAGTTTTGTGGTTTGCTGCTCATGAGGCTGAGCTGTAACAGGGGGTCACAGAAGCTGTAAGAACTCAAGGCTTAGCACCAGCCCGAGACTTAGCTGATGGATTGGGCTCCAGAGCTGACTGTGCCCATCTCCTCTGCAGTGAATGGTGGCTGGTCCACCTGGTCCGAGTGGTCTCCGTGCAACAACCGCTGTGGCCGGGGCTGGCAGAAGCGCACCCGCACCTGCACCAACCCCGCGCCCCTCAACGGCGGCTCCTTCTGCGACGGGCAGCCCTTCCAGAAAATCACCTGCACCACCCTCTGCCCAGGTGAGCAGGGTTCAGAAACTGCCATGCCCACGCTGCCTGTGCCCCGGGTATTGTATTTGTGGGGACCCTCTTGGCAGGGAGGAATGATGAATCTGACTCCATGTTCTCAGAAGGTTCATTTATTATTTTATGATACTATATAATATGAAAGAATACTGTACTAAACTATACTAAAGAATACAGAAAGGATACAAAGATAATATAAAAACTTGTGACTTTCTAGAGCCCTGACATAGCTTGACCCTGATTGGCCAATAAGTCAAAATAATTCACAGCAGAAACCAATGATATAATCACCTCTTGGATAAACAATCTCCAAACACATTCCAAAGAAGTAAAACACTAGAGAAGCAAATGAGATGAAATTATTTTCCTTTTTCTCTGAGGCTTCTTAGCTTTCCAGGAGAAAAATCCTGGGCCAAGGGATTTTTCATAAAATGTGAATGTGACACCAGGCTGTGGTTGGGATTGTTGGGATTGTTTGCTTGGACCAGAGAAGGCTCTGAGGTGACCTAAATGCAGCCTTACAGTACCTCAAGGGAGCCTACAATAAACATGGAGAGAGATTATCTACAAGGGCCTGGAGTGGCAGCAGAACAGAGAATGGCTTCACACAGACAGAGGACAGGATTAGATGGGATATTGGGAAGAAATTCTTCCCTGGGAGGGTGGGCAGGCCCTGGATCCCTGGCAGTGCCCAAGGCCAGGTTGGATGGGGCTTGGAGCACCCTGGGACAGTGGAAGGTGCCGCTGCCAATGGCAGGGGCTTGGAACAAGCTGGTTTTAAGGAGCGCTGGGATAACACTGCCCAAAGTGGGCAGGTTTTCCTGACGCCGCCGTGTCCGGTGCCCGCAGTGGACGGCGCGTGGACGGAGTGGAGCAAGTGGTCGGCATGCAGCACCGAGTGCACCCACTGGCGCAGCCGCGAGTGCGCGGCCCCCGCGCCCCGCAACGGCGGCAAGGACTGCAGCGGGGTGCTGCTGGACTCCAAAAACTGCACCGACGGCCTCTGCCTGCACAGTGAGTACCCAGGAGGGTGGCCACAGGCGTGGGGACGTGCCTCAGGAGATGCCACTCTGGCTGTGGCGCTCCGGCATTTGGCCGCGCTTTGTTGGCTGTGCCTCCAAGCTGATGGAGCAGCCGCTGCCACCTGAGTTTTAAGTGGTGCCTTTAAAAAGGTGTTTTCAAGCAGATTCGCCCCTTCCAGAGTTATTTCTTACCTGGAGGAAGAGATATTGGGGATTTTGGGGGATCTAAATGTGCTGCTGACATTGAGGCCTCTGTCCCACCCCTGTAGGTTTGGGGTCTGTGCTGGAGTAAAGCTGGTTGTGGGTAAGCAGGGCAACAAGAGGGGTTTCTCAGCCACACCATGAAAACACCTCCTCTGGGTCACTGCTGGGAGTCCTGGAGGTGTTTTTTTGAGAAATAAACCCATAATGATGGTAATGGTGCTGCTACCTGTGAGTGGGCATGCTGAAGGCAGCCAATGCTGCCACCTGCTGCTGTGTGACACCACTGTCCCCTTTACTGCCCAGGCATGGGGATGTTGTCACCATGCTTCTACCTGGGTTTTGGAATGCCCCAGGGAATGATGTTGATCTCCCACACCCCTCACCCTGGGCTGGCTTACCTCCCACTTTCTGTTTCACCTCATCCCCATCATCACCTTCACCTTTTTCTTTTCTAACTTTGTTTTTCCTAACAGATAAAAGAATTCTAAACGAGCCCAAAAGCCACCGTAAGTGCTCATTTCATGGCCATTTTTTTTTTTGTTTGTTCCTGTGGTTTTGTTCTGTTGAACCCATGGTAGGGATTCCCTGGCAGCTGGGCGAGGAAAGGGTGGGAAGATGGAACAACTAAAGCCCACTCCAAAACTCCTGTGGGCTCCTCAGGGTTGTCTCTGTCAGGATGTGAGGGTTGCTCACAGCTTCATGAACCTGAGCTGCACAAACCCAACGTTTCTGGGACTCTTGGTGCTCAGATGAAGTTTCCACGAGCTGTGGCCAGGTGTCCTCCAAAGGTCTGAGGGCTTCACCTCCATCTCATTCTCTGGCATTGCTCTTGACTTCCTGCTCTTAGAAAACACTTTCCATCCTCTTGCCAGCCTTTCCAGCAGGCCCAGGGCGCGTCCTTCCACCCATGCCTGAGTCAGTGGTGGGACTGGGGAGTGACGGTGGGTCTTGCCGTGCTTTTCTGCTGCCCCCTTTTTTCACCTCCATGTCTTTAATCCCTCTCAGTGCTGGAGGCCACAGGCGATGTGGCCCTGTACGCTGGGCTGGTGGTGGCCATTTTTGTCTTCATCGTGATCCTCATGGCCGTGGGGGTGGTGGTGTACCGGAGGAGACGCCGGGATTTCGACACGGACATCACGGACTCCTCGGCCGCTCTGACCGGAGGGTTCCACCCGGTCAACTTCAAGACGTCCCGGCATGGTAAGAGCCATGGAGGTCCTCACCAGCCTTAGGTCTAGCAGAAGGAAAGTCACAGGAGAGGGTGGGTCCTCACTGGGCTCCCAGTCCCATCTTCCTGAGGGAATATACTGATTTTTGAAAGGCTTGGTCTGGTGCCCCATGGCAGGGGTTTGGAATGTGATGAGAAAGTCCCATCCAACCCAAACCATTCTGGGATGTCTCCCACTGAAGCAGTACTTCTCCATGCCCTTGTTTCCACTGCTGCCTTCATCCCAGCTGTGTTTCCTGTCTCACAGACAACCCTCAGCTGCTGCACCCGTCCATGCAGCCGGACCTGACGGCCAGCGCGGGCGTGTACCGCGGCCCCATGTACGCCCTGCAGGACTCCTCCGACAAGATCCCCATGACCAACTCCCCGCTGCTGGACCCCCTGCCCAGCCTCAAGATCAAGGTCTACAACTCCTCCACGGCCTCCTCCTCGCCGGGGCTGCACGACAGCACGGACCTGCTGGGGGGGGTCCCCGCCACCGGCACCTACCCGGGGGACACCGGCAGGGACGGCCACTTTGCCAACGTGAGGAGCAAAGGCCTGGGCTCCCAGCACCTCCTCAGCCTGCCCCGCGAGCATGGCTACAGTGCCAGCGGCACATTTGGCTACCTGGGGGGAAGGCTGACTGTGCCAGGCACAGGTAAGCTGCAGGCTGGGATTGTGTGGCTGCTCAGCCATCATCTTGTTCATGCATGAGCAGCCCTTTGCTATCTCAAACGTGGCTCAGGGAAGGAAGGCAGAAAGCCATTCCCAAGGTAGGCATCTCAGGCTAGAGGTTACAGCCTCCTTGGGCTTGCCTTGGTCTTTCCCTGCCATTGATCCAGGGCCAGCACTTTGCAAAAAATCCCAGATATTAGGATTTTCCTTCCTAGTGAAGGAAAAGAATTGGCCTGGCTCATCCCTGCAAGCAGTGCAGCCATGGGACAGCACAGAGGAGCTGTGGCTGCCCCATCCCCAGAAGTCTGAAAGGTCAAGGTGGACAAGGCTTGGAGCAGCCTGGCACAGTGGAAGGTGTCCCTGCCCAAGGCCGGGGTGCTGGAACTGGGTGATCTTTAAGGTCTCTTCCAACCCAAAGCATTCCATGATTCTGTGATCTGGAGATGTTCCTCTCTGTGCTGCCCTGTCTCCCTGCTCTCCTTGTGCTCTCTGGCTGGGGTGGAGGGTGGTTTCTCCCTCACTGCCTGTGGCTGACCCATGTGTGTGCTGTTCCAGGGGTGAGCCTGCTGGTACCCCACGGAGCCATCCCCCAGGGGAAGTTCTACGAGATGTACCTGGTGCTCAACAAGGCTGAGACCGCCCTGTAAGTCACCCCGCTGGCCACCCACTCCTCGCTGGCCACCAGGGAGTTCCCTGTCCAACGTGTGTCCCCTGTCCCTCCCCAGGCTGCCCTCTGAGGGCACACAGACAGTGCTGAGCCCTGCAGTGACCTGCGGGCCCACGGGCCTGCTCCTGTGCCGCCCCGTGGTCCTGAGCATTCCCCACTGCGCCGACATCAGCTCCTCGGACTGGATCTACCAGCTGAAAACACAGTCCCACCAGGGAAACTGGGAGGTAAGGGGGCAACCTGCAGCCAGAGAGACCCTGGGGGGCAGGCACGACCCCTTGGATGATGGGCTGAGCCTCAGTGTTGATGTCTCTATAGGAAGTTGTGACCCTGGATGAGGAGACCCTCAACACTCCCTGCTACTGCCAGCTGGAGGCCAAGTCCTGCCACATTTTGCTGGACCAGCTTGGCACTTACGTCTTTGTGGGGGAGTCCTACTCCAGGTCAGCCATCAAGAGGCTCCAGCTGGCCATCTTTGCCCCCACTGTCTGCACCTCCCTGGAGTACAGCCTCAAGGTCTACTGCTTGGAGGACACGCCAGATGCTCTGAAGGTAAATATCCCCTTCCCAAAGCTGTTTGTGCTGGCAGCAGGATGCTGCCTGGTGCCTCTCAGGATGGCCTGGCCCTGGGGAGCAGACAACCTGATGCAACTGCCTGCAAAGTGACCACAGTGAAATAATGAGATGTTTACTGCTTTGCCTGTCCTTCCTCGTCCTCTGCCAAGGAAACAGGGAGTGTGTTGTGCAGCTCCTCTGCTGGGACCCCTCCTGCAGGCATTACACGAGAGGTTTGGCTGCTGATGGGCAGGTTTTTTATAGATCCTGCAGGGATCCATGTCTGTCCCTGCCCTGGAAGGGTTTTGTGGCATAGATAACATTCAGTGCATCACGGGAAGCTGGAGTTATGATGCTTTGGCTGCCTGGACCCACCAGTGCTGTGGCTGTTTGGTTCTCTCTGACTTGTCCAGTGGATCCTGTTAGGATTGATGTGGTGCCTCTAGGTGGGGATGCAGGCAGGGCTCTGGCTCTTGGCTTGTCTTTTTCTCCTAAGAGCTGCTGGTGTGATGAAGGGATGGTGTTAAAAGCAGATAGATAGCTCCTTGTGTTGGAGCTTTGTGTTTTCCAAGGAGACATTTGTGGATGCTCCCATTAGGAAATTCAAGTTTTAGGTGGGGCTGGTATATGAGATGAGCTGGCACGTTCTTTTGGGGTGGCAAAAGCTGTTCTCCATGCTCTTCTTGGCAACTCCTCTCCCCGTCCTGGCTTTGGGCGTGGAGCTGGGCAGAGGAGCAGCCCCTGCCCTTCTCCTGCGCCTCACCCTGCCTGTCCTGCTGCCCACAGGAGGTGCTGGAGCTGGAGAGGACACTGGGAGGGTACCTGCTGGAGGAACCCAAGCCCCTGCCCTTCAAGGACAGCTACCACAACCTGCGCCTCTCCATCCACGACATCCCCCACGCGCTGTGGAGGAGCAAACTGCTGGCCAAGTACCAGGTGAGGGGCAGCTGGGGGCAGCTGGTCTTCCAGACTGGGAGCTCATCTCCAGCCAGGCACCACAGGGCTGTGTTGTCTCCCAAAAGGATGGAGGAGGAAGGGGATCAGTTTCCTGGTCTTTCTGGATGGATGCTCTCTGTGAGGTCTATCCTTGCTGGGGTCTATGTACAAATCACAAATGGGATGGGACTGCTAGGAACGTGTCTTGAGCTGTTTTATTTTCCAGCATCAGTCTTATTACATGGTTATGACAATGGGAAAGTGCCAGCAGCTCACATCCCAGGCAGCAGACCAAGAACTTAATGTTACAACTTACTTTATAAGTTTTTTGACCAATCACACAAAGCAAAAGCATACTGACAGCAGTTCCATCCAACCACTATAAGCACACTTACCTTTGGTTAAAAAAATGTTTGCTTATTTCGAATACAATACCTGTTTGTAAGCCTTCAAACACAATGCACAGAACTCCATTATTAAGCTTAGAACTTCCTAATATCTCTCCAGATATACTTTTCTGCAGCTTAGGGAGTTATTCTAGTCAAGCATTAATGCACAGACCGTTGTCCCATTTGTCCTTACTTTTCTACTTTTTACATAATTTTTCTGCTGACTTATTTTATGGCTTAGCTTAGCTCTAATCACACCTCTTCTGTCTCTGAGGCCTGCCTTTTGCACCTTTCCAAAACCTTCTGATTTTATGGATTCCCACAAGGTCCTGCTGTCCCACCTCATCCCTCATGGGGTGGCTGGAGGAGGTGGGAGCTGGAGCCTTGGCTGAGCCCGTGCTTTGGTGGCCCACAGGAAATCCCTTTCTACCACATCTGGAGCGGCAGCCAGCGAGCTCTGCACTGCACCTTCACGCTGGAGAGGTACAGCCAGGCCTCCACCGAGCTCACCTGCAAGATCTGCGTCCGCCAGGTGGAAGGGGAAGGGCAGATCTTCCAGCTCCACGTCACGCTGGGAGAGGTGAGCAGAGGGGAGGGGAGGTGTGGGGACAGCTGGGGACACGTCTGGAACATTTCAGCAATGTCTCTTCCTCTTCCAGCACGGCAGCTCCTCCGACACCCTGCGCTCCCACCACAGCGGTGCCACCACCACCAGCACCACCCAGGTGGGACCCTACGCCTTCAAAATCCCCCTCTCCATCCGGCAGAAGATCTGCAACAGCCTGGATGCTCCCAATTCCAGGGGGAACGACTGGAGACTTCTCGCCCAGAAGCTTTCCATGGACCGGTGGGTCTCCCCAGGCTTTGCTTTCCCTTCCTGTGCCCCCAGCAGGGAGGCTCCACTCTGTGCTCCCTGTCAGCTGTAGCCATCCAGGGGGGTTGTGTCCAGCTGTATAGGTCCATCCATAAATGAGGATATTGCTCTGCATAGTTATATCCATCTCTATCCTTGGATATGGTTTTAAATTTTATAAGAGGAGAGGTTTAGATGAGATATTGGGAAGTTGTTCTTCCCCTGGGGGTGGTGAGGACCTGGCATGGGGTGCCCAGAGAAGCTGTGGCTGCCCTATCCCTGGAAGTGTTCAAATCCAGGTTGGAGAGGGCTTGGAGCACCCTGGGATAATGGAAGGTGTCCCTGCCCATGGCAGGGGGGTTGGAACTGGATGATCTTGAAGGTCCCCTCCAACCCAAACAATTCTGCCATCCAATTGTGCCACAGTCCTGTGTCTCCTGTCACTATGAATGGCCCTTGTTTATCTGGGACAATGGCTGTGCCATTCCCACCTGGTTTCACCCCAGGACCAAAGGGAGAAAGGGTAATTTCAGCAAAGCAAACCTTACATTGCTTTTGCATGAATAAACTGCAGACGGTCTCTGAGGGCTTTGGCGTTTGCGTTACAGCATTCCCATCCAAGTTCATGTTCCAAACAGGCCCAGCATCCTCCCTCCTGCCATCCACAAAGGGCACCACAGCAGCCCAACCCTCTCCTGCTTCTCCCTTTCAGGTATCTGAACTACTTTGCCACCAAAGCCAGCCCCACCGGGGTGCTCCTGGACTTGTGGGAAGCCGAGCACCAGGACGACGGCGATCTCAACACCCTGGCCAGTGCCTTAGAGGAGATGGGCAAGAGCGAGATGCTGGTGGTCATGGCCACAGAGGGGGACTGCTGATGCTGCTCCCCACGCCTGGGGGGCCAGGAGGACCAAGCAGGGGGTGAGGAAGGGTCCTCCCCCGATGGCAGGGGGAGGCACATCCGTGCTGAGCGGGGAGGAGCTGCTTCTCCTGCACCACTGTCAGCCTTAGAGACCCATCCTCAGCGTTTACAAGCAATCCAAGTGTTACACAGCATTCCTCCTCCTCCTCCTCCTCGTGGCACGGGGAGGAATTAGGGCTTCTCGAGTCGGGATGGGGGCTTTCCTTTTCCTTCTTCTTTTTGGGTTCCCTTCCTCCTCCTTTAATAGCATTTCTTGCGTTGAAGAGATGAATACAATCCAGGCTTAACTTCTGTCAAAGGCTTCAGGCAGCTTAACGAGGCAAATAGGAAAGAAAAAAAAGGAAAAAAAAAAGTTTCTTAGGAAACGCAAATAATTTATTATCCAGATCTTTGGATGTGTCCTTTTTAAAAAAAAAAAAAAAAAAAGAAAGAAAAAAAGATTTATAAATCTTTTGGGTTTTTTGGTGTGTGAGGGCAAGAGCAGCGCTGTGGTCAGGGTGGCAGACAGAGAGATTTCAATGGACACACTTTTGTCGGGAAAAGCGTGTGATCCAAGTTGAGAAAAACATGTTTACATGTCCTGGGACCCCCAGGGAGTCCAGAGGTTGAAGTGCCTCTCCACCCCTCTGCTTCAGGGCCAGCTCAGACCCTTCCCAAGGCTTTTGTCCTTGTCCTTTTTCCCTGGCAGTGGGAATGATGGGTCCCACTCCACCTGCAAGGAGGGATGAGGGATGCTGCCCTGTATTTAGGGTTCAGGGTGGGGAGAGTGCATCCAGATGTGGGTATTTTTAATTAATTCTTCCCTGGCATGGTTTGGGGGAGCTTTTTAGGATGACTACGCCTTCACTTACGTAACTTCAGTACAAACCAAAGATTTCAGTCCTGCACCAACCTCCGGACTCGAGGCTAAAGGGGGGGATGTTGTAAACCCAGCAGGATTTTGCAGTGAGCACCCCAAACCTCGCCTTGGGGCTCAGAGGGAGGTGATGAGCAGGTGTGGAGGGGTCAGGGGAGAGCAGGGGCTGGTGGGCTGCGATGTGGCCACTTCAAACTGCCTCCACTTCAGGTCCCTGCACTCCTGCCTAGATTTTGATGCAGTATTTCAGCACGGATTCAGGGAGGGATACTCTGGTATTCCCAAGCTGCCAACCAGGCTGAGCGTTTTCACATGAGGGACAGCATCATGAGCAGTGCTCAGGTTTCCATCCCTCACTGCAGCTCCTGTTTTTCCCCTGGAATAGGCTTTTTATAACGATGGAGAAGCTGTGGGGTGAGTGGAAAGTAATCAAGTGGTAGGCAGGAACGAGGTTCCTCACACAGGATATGGTGTCTTGATGAAGGTAAAAAATTTAGGTTGCCTGGAGGTAGAAATAGTTACTCACTGAGTGCTGTATCTTAGAAATTTGTCTGTTTAAAAAAAAAAAATCAGAAGGGGGTGGTAAGCTCAGGATTAGACTAGGTCACACGGCCAGGCTGTGGATTCTCCATCAGTGGAAGTATTAGGAGCATGTCCTGCTCTGGCTGCAGAGCCCTGGATCAGTGTCCTGGAGTGCCTGTGCCATCCCACAAAGTGCTGGGCACAGGAGCACACTCAGGGAGCCTGGAGAGCATCACCTGCACAGGGCAGCTCGGGAGGAGCTTTCAGTATTGCTGGGCATGACAGCATTCCCCTGGGCAGCTCCTGAGGCACTGCTGGAAAGCACTGAGCTGCTCCCTGCTGTGTCTCAGGGTCCCTGGAGCTCACTTCTGGCTGGGTTTTCAAGGCTGTGGGAGAGAAGGGATCTTTTCCCCTTGTGCTGGATGGGAAAACTGCTGCTGGGAGAGCTCCTGTGTCACATGGGAAAGGATTTATCTGTCCTTTGGGTTGCATTTGAGCATTTCTGAGACCCTCTGCGCTAAGGAAGAAAAGGCAGATTTGGAGAGCAATAAAGAGTCTGTGGATCAATCCAGCTGCCCGTGGGCTCGAGGGCTCCTTTCTCAGTTCCACGGGGTTCTCTGAGGGATGAGATGCTCTTTCAGGTCACCTGGGAATCTCTCTCACTCCCATTCTCTGGTTTATGGATCACTGTGCTGGGATGTGTGTCTGTCTGTCCGTCCATCCGTCCATCCTGCCCACGGGTGGGAAACTCCATCCCCCTCCATCTCTGTTCACCTCCCCTTGGGCAGGCAGCAGCCACCTGGCTTGGCTGAAGTGCATCGTTGGGGAGCTGCTCCCCGTTTTTCTGGCCAGGGAACCTGCAGCAGGAGCAGGGCAGGGGGGATGCAGGGTTTGCCTCCCTCTCCCGTGGGTGCCCTCCACACCTCCCAGGGGTTTCTCCAGCCAGGCATTTTGGCCAAGGCAGCCCCGTGGCCTGGCAGTGTCCATCTCTTGCCCCAAAATGTGTTTCCATATTTATATGTTCAGGGGATGGGCCCGGTGGCGTCCTCTAAACCCTCGTCTGTTTATTCTGTAAACTAAAGAACTGTAAATAAAGTTTAGCATTCCTATTGTAACAAATTAATTTTTATGCAATAAATTATATTTCCTAGTCTAATAATAAAAAAATAGAAAAAAAAAAAGGAAACATTCTGCTTTATCTGCTTGCCAGTCTCCTGTTCATCACTCACCATTCCTGCTGTGTTTGGTATCTGCAGGGACTGGGGAGCCCTGTGAGATCCCTCTCTTGTATGTGCAGGGTTCCCAGATGAAGGAAGGAATGATGCATCTGACTCCATGTTCTTAGAAGGCTAATTTTTTATTTTAAAATACTATATTATTTTAAAGAATACTGTACTAATGAATACAGAAAGGATACTTGCAGAAGGCTAAAAAGATAATAATGAAAACTCATGACTCTCTCCAGAGTCTGACACAGCTTGGCACTGATTGGCCAAAAAGTCAAAACAATTCACATGAAACCAATGAAACAATCACCTGTTGGATAAACAATCTGCAACCACATTCCAAAGCAGCACAACACAGGAGAAGCAAATGAGATAATACTGTTTTCCTTTTTCTCTGAGGCTTCTCAGCCTCCCAGGAGAGAAATCTTGACAAAGGAATTTTTCCAGACAATATGACTGCCATGTCCCTCCAACCTGCTTTGGGCTCCATTGCTCCTGCATGCCAGCAGGAGGGTGTTGCTGTGGGGGTCCCTTCTGGAAGTGAGTGGAGATTGATTGATGGTTTGTTTTGGGTGCTTCCAGGGCAGGAGATGAGGGCTACAGCTTGCCTTGTGGGCTGAGACACACTCAAGCAGTTCATTGCCAGCCCCGAGGGATATCCTACAAAAAGCAATGCCTCTTCCAGGACTGGGGGGATAATTTGGGAGGGAGGAACGTGTGGCCGCATTTCTCTTCACAGAGAAAAGCAAGGCACAACTTCCCAAGAATATTTTCTGGGAATCGCAGTGAGGAACCTCAGAGAAAGAAGAAACAATTCTTATCATTTGCTGTGCCTGTGTTTGTGCAAAAGTAGAATGCAATATGGAGATTGTTTGCCCAAAGTGATGGTGCTTTGTTTCCTTGGCCTGTCAGGGCCAAGTGTGAGTGTGAGTCAGGACTGTCACGAGATTCTGTGCAGTTGAGTGCTTGGCAGATTCAGTTTAGATGTAATGTAATATAGTATAGAATAATATAGTATAATAAAGTAATTAATTAGCCTTCTGATACCCATGGAGTCAGATGCATCATTCTCTCCCCCTCATCAGGGGTGAAAATATCTACTCTAGGAATGGTGTCACCGTAGGACACAAAATAACACGACGTAGACACGCAGCTCTCTCAAGGTACAAAAGCACTTTTAATTTCTGACTCCAACATTTATAGATTTCCAAAAGTAACTGGATTTACTTTTGGAAATCTATAAATGCCACTGGACAAACCAACAGCCCATCGAATTTCTCCTCCTCCATAAAAGAATACAAAACAATAAGTTATTTACATAATGTGTGTGAGAAAGCTCGTTACAAGAATGTAAACATCAGAAGGCTTAGAAAAACTTATAAAATCAGGGCGACAGGAATGGAGCATGGAGCTGCAGCTGCAAGTGGGGCATCCCTGTCCTCCAGCACCCCACCTGGGGGTTCCTGCTGTTTCCCCATCTGAGATGGACCATGAAGTTACCCCTGGGTGGTGACAGGAGACTCTGACAAGTGGAAGCTCTGCTCAGGTCACCCCACAGCCCAGCCAGACTGCTGCCCAGAGAAGAGTAAAGATGACATTTTGGATAAGATTAAGTTTTCACTTAATGACTTTTACCCAGATTCCAAGGTGACATATCCAGTCAAAACCTTACCTGCTTGAGGCTGCAACAAAGAAAAATTAGTCCATGACATGCCTACAGTTCACAGATTGCATGTTTCATATTAATGGCAGCATAAACATTTTCATTTTTGTACTAGAAGCAATACGTGATTTGAACTAATATCTGCATTTCAAGTAGTTCCATACACTAAAACAAATAGAAAAAATGTGCAAACTAACCATCCACACTGGCTGGGGGTGAGAGATCTTTTGTCTTGATAAAGTCCCAGCAAGGGAATGGAGCCAGAAGGGTTTGCAGGGAGGTTCCAGGAGCCCACTGTCCCTGCCTAGCCCCTCACCTCATCCAGCTCAGCGGGACCAGTTGCCACCAGGAGATGGCAACATTGGCCGTGCTCCGGGCAGGAGTGGGACTTCTGCAACCAGTGAGGAAAAACGGGGATGGAATTGCAGCCCTGCCGCCACAGTGATCATAAGGTAGCCACAGGAATATGCCCAACCTTCCCAGCTGGGCTTGGCAGCCAGGACAGGATGCTGAGGCAGATGCCTCCTCAGGAGGGAGAAGGTTTTCACAGAGTCCCAAAACGGTTTGCTTTGGAAGGGATGTTCCAGTCCTGTTCCACCCCCTGCCATGGAACATCAGACCAGGGTGGTCCAACCTGGCCTGGAACACTTCCAGGGATCCAGGGGCAGCCACAGCTTCTCTGGGCACCCTGTGCCAGGGCCTCGCCTCCCTCACAGGGAAGAATTCCTTCCAAATAACCCATACAAACCTGTCCTCTTATCAGCTTAAAGCCATTCCCACTTGTCCCTTTCCTGACATCTGAATTCCTTTAACCTCCACCTCCCACGCTGCTTTCTCTGGTCACTTTTTGCACCAAAACATCTTTCCAAGGGCCAGCATCCATGGATGGTCACCTGTGGATAACTTTGACCAGCTGCTGCCCAATTTCCCCTTTTCTTCTCCTGTTGAAGCACCCAGTTTGCTAACTCCCCTTACAATTCAAGCACCCCAAATCCCTGCAGTGGCACGTTGAACTCGGGCTCAGAAGCGGCAGCTGTCCCAGCAGGTTTGTTCTGCAGCAGAGCAGCACAGGGGTGTCCCTAAAGCTGCCCCCAGCCCCCGTGGGGGGCTGTGCTGTGGCACAGGGGCTCTGTCCCCCCTGCCAGGCTGTCACTGTCCCCTGTGCTGTGTGATGGGAGGTGTGGGAATGTGCCCCCCTGTTGATGGAGTGACAAAATTATCCTTTGTCCCCTTAAAAAGGAAATAAACCCAGAACTTTCTCTCCTCAATTAGGTGAAAAGGCATCTCATAGGACCCAGAATTTCACCTTGAATTTAAGGATAGCCAGTTGGACAGGAGCCAAAAAATCTGGCCTGAGCAATTCACTAGAAAAAAAAAGAGAACAAAGAAACTAATCGTTTTTGTGAGGTGTTTTACCAGGAGCAAAAACCTCTTGCACCTGGTTCGTTGTTTCTCTGTAAAGAGTTTTGTTATTTTGCCTTTTATTAATTTTTTTTTTTTTTATTTCCAACACTACCACAGAAGCCATCCTGCTGATTTTATGCCTTCTAAGGTAACTGAGCTATCTTGGGTGAGAAATAGATCTCCAAGAGCTTATGAGACCTGGCTTGAGGAGATCCCTATTTCAGGGAGGCTCTTCTCCACCAGTGGCTTTTTTGACATGACAGATGGCAGCAGGTCAGAAATATCAGTGCAATCCCTCAGAGCTGCCCAGTTACTGACTCAGAGAGGCCGTGCCATCTTCTCAGGTGTGTAATATATGTTATAAAATAATTCACGCTAAAGGGAATTAAAAACCACAGCATTTTGTGTACTAAAGCCACTGTCGGGCAACAAGAAGTTACAGGCTAAGTGATAAGGATGGAGATTCAAACACCAGGAGGATGACTGTCTCCAGAGATGCATATTTCAAGGGATTTTCTTCGTCTGACAAGACCCCAGCAGGAGGCATTTGATAGACATCAGCAGTAAGATAACACTCAACACCAGAAGTTTATCCCAGAAGATTTTCACCTGACTGGATTTCAGCAATTATTCACCAGTTCTGAGAAACATGGCAGCAAAAAAGAAAAAAACCCCAAAAAACTATGATGGTATGCTAAAGAAGGGCCCCTTCCAGAGCCCAAAAGACTGTATAAAATGAATTTCTTATAAATTACATTTGGAGACCCATGGGGACTTTGGTGCCATAGAGGACAAATCCTGGCTTTCCCCGGCTCTGATCACCTGGCTCAGAGTCAAATGGCTTTTTCCAAATTTATATTTTGATTATTTGATAAATTTCCTGAATTATTAAATTGGAGTATTCATCTATAACAGGTGCTTTGCCAGCCTGGCATGTCAGCATGGATGAAAATCCCAAGGAGAAACCTCTGAGGAGGAACCTCTGAGGAGGAACCCACGTGCTCCTCTCAGGCCTTTCCATTCCAGCACATCACCTGCACACTGGCTGCCTGCTGCTGCTTGTTTTGCTCAAAAAAGAGGGAAAAAACCACTCAAATCGGGTTTTTTGTGACATTTGTGAGGCCATCTGACCTGCCCTGTCCATGGCTCAGAGGCTGGAGGTGGGTGAGGTGGAGGTGGAAGTATCTGGGTTCCTCTGTGTTTCCCCTATAGGTGAAAAAAAAATCTTGACAGGACCATTTTGGGGCTTTCTGCAAAAAATTAAAACCCTTTGATGAAGGGTTGGATGTGTGGGCATGTCCCTGTGTGGCTGCTGAGGGGCCAGACACAGCTTTGGGGAAAGAAACAGGGAAAAAAGAGGTGATGATGTGTTCCTTCTCAGTCACACCACGCCCTCAAGGTGATGTCAAAGTGGAGTTTGGGGGAATCGAGGACTTTGCAGTGGAATTTGTGTGGGTGGGGAAGCACAGGGAGTAAAGGAGGAGCTCATCCTGCCCATTCCCCAAGGTGGTGTTTTGGTGACTTCTGACAAAAATCAAGCCTGGGCAAAAGCTTTTCTTACTGCTGTGTGGTGAGCAGGGCTGTGATTAGCACTGATCTTCATGGAATAATGAAATAATTTGGGTTAGAAGGAGGGGCCTTTAGGATCACCTTGTTACTTCCCCTTGCCAGGGGCAGGGACACCTTCCAGGGTGCTCAGAGCCTTATCCAGCTTGGGTTTGGGCACTTCCCGGGATGGAGCAACCACAGCTTCTCTGGGCACCCTGTGCCAGAGCCTCCCAGGGAACAACTCCTTCCCAATATCCCATCCATCCCTGCCCTCTGGCTGTGGGAGCCATTCCCTGCGTCCTGTCC